ATAAACCTCTGGCACAACCTGAAGGTGCTCTGACTTGTAAGCAGGTCCTCTTGCGAGAGAGTACAGGATGCTCTCTTTTTTCATCCAGTGTCTGTGTTCATGGGGAAGTCAAAGGGCAGAGCCTACCGCGAACCTGCTTCCCTAACCAAGCCAAACACATGTTCCGGCGCTTGCGGAGGCATAACCATTTGGTTGGTGTCCCCGGGTGCCTGTGCCCAATCCGTGCTGTCTCTGTTTTGGGGACCACCGCATAATTCCGGGGGGGGAGGGGGTTAAGCTTACGTTGCGTCATCCTCGGTGCCACCAGCATGTTGGGCGGTCCGCACTATCTCCGCTTCTGCTGCAAGACTCTCACACGGCCAATTCATCGGCGTCCATGCGCAAACCGGACAAAGTCGTTGACGCGTCCAGCAGGTGATTTGCTGCTGCTGCTGCTGCTTTTGCTGGTAAGTGCTACGAATATTAACTGTTTGCAAGTGGGGAACAAGTTGGACACTGCGTCATTTCCCGCAACTCAGCAAGGTTTGCTGATTGGATGTGGTCCGTTTACTTGCGCACCCACCTATGTCTGATGGTTCCTTGCGTAGTGACAAAACAAAAAAGGAGCCTCTGGAACACACATGAAGGATGCCACTCAACTGAGGGTTGTAACAGTTCTGATCTGATTCCCGTTCCTGTCCACGATGGTTGGAAAGAGGCCCCGATTTGGCCATCTCTTCAGATCCTGGTGCCCTCCAAGAGAAACCTTGGAGAAACGGGGAAGCCGAAGGGAACCTCTCCAGGGAATCAACCGAACCCCCCCAAAAAAAGAAAGAAATCAGAAACCCTGGAAAACCCCTAGGGAAGCCCAACAAACAGAAACCCTAAAAACCCCCCCCCCAAAAAAAAAACAGAGAAACACCCGAAGGGAAACCCAAACAGAAACCCTACAAACCATTTTTTTTTTAGAAGAAGGACAAACCCAAGAGAAACCCAAGGGAACCCCCCCCCCCACACATAAAAGTCGCCGTCCTGCGCCGAGGTGCGGAGTTTCCCACTGCCTGCGCCGCATCGCCTCACTGGCCCCAGAAGCCATGCCCTCGGGCCGGTCCGGCACCAGGTCGGTCTCCTGCGGAGAGCGGCCGCGGCTGAGCCATGTTGAGAGCGGCCAATGTCCACTGTCTTTGGAGTTGCTGCCCTTTTTTGTTGTTTGTACTTTTTTTGTAAGGAACCAACAGGAAATGGGTACGTCATATGATGTGTCCGGCTGCGGCTGGGCCATGTTTACCCTTTTTTGGTGGTTTTAGACGATGTTTTCGGAGTCGGTACCCTTTGGTTTGGTGGTTGGATCCACTGTCTTTGGAGTCGGTACCCTTCTGTTTGGTGGTTGGATCCACTGTTTTTGGAGTCGGTACCCTTCTGTTTGGTAATTGGATCCACTGTTTTTGGCGCGGTACCCTTTGGTTTGGTGGTTGGATCCACTGTTTTTGGTGGTTGGATCCATTGTTTTTGGATTCGGTACCCTTTGGTTTGGTGGTTGGATCCACTGTTTTTGGAGTTGCTACCCCTTTTGTCGTGGTTTTGTAAGGAACCAAAAGGACATGGGTATGTCACGGTATGTCCACTTGCTTTGGAGCTGGTAGCCCTTTTTTGGTGGTTTCATAAGATTGTTGTTGGAGCTGGTGCCCCTTGTTGTTGCTGGTTTTTGTAAAGGAACCAAGTGGGAAACCATCCATTTGGCATGTCATGGTACATCAACTTTTTTGGAGTTGGTACCTGGTTTTTGGTGGTTTTTGAAGGAACCAAAGGGGAAACCCATCCATTTTGGGTGTCCCCTAAACACACGACACACCAATATGTCCTTTGATTTTGAGGCCTGAAATGGTCGGAACAAAGATCTCTGAAGTCGGGTTTGACCCCAGGTTTATCACCCCTCCATTCGAGTCAGGGGGTCTCAAAATGGGTTGAATTCCTAAAAGAGGGAAGCCAGACAACTAATGTGAAGGAGAAAAAAGTCTAGTTTGACATAAACTACTGTGTATGTAAGCTAACCAAACGGCACCACACAAGCATGCGATAACTCTTTTATCCAAGCAATGTGTTGGTGCCAGGGACTCATCTTCCCCTGTCAGATGTCAACGGCTGGGTGGGCCCCATGGGCCACCCACCACAAACTCACAAAAACTGAAGAACGGGTGTGCAGACTGATAGCGCCCGCCCCTGAGCCGGGGCCCGGGGCACCCAGGCCACAGGGGGGTCTGCCACCAGGGGAAGTGAGTCACCCACCGGCTCCGGTCACGGGAGCATGGGTGGGCCCACGCTAAGATCAAATGCATCTCCATTCAGGAGACGCGGGAGAAAAACGAACTCCTCGCAGAGTTCCTGTTTGGGGACCCTGTGCAAAGGGTCGAACCCAGAGAAATCTGGGTGCGTCAGCTCATCAGCCCACTGGTTGAATTCCCGGGGCACGTGGTTGGCCGCCAGCGAGCAGCCATGGGTGTGGAGCAGGAAGACCAGCTCCATCAGGATCGCCGCGGTGTAGGGCTTCTTGGATCCAAGGTTGAGCATCGCCATGACGTTGCCCTGATTGTCACTGCCCACCGGGAGTCGGACCCGGGAGGACAGAGGGCCTTGGTGCGTGAGGATCATGTTACAGAGGAAGAGCGTGCCCAGCATTTCCAAAGCCGCAATCCTCCGCTTGGGATCCCCATTCTTGAATGCCCACGGGTACTCCTCCACGTGGATCTGCTCGTGGAACCAGTACACCTCCTTCTTTTCCGGCTCCATTTTGTTGGAGCACCATCCTCCCACAAATGCCAGTCCTTCGTCCGAGGCGCTAGCATCGCTGCAACCCCACCAAGAGGACTTCGGCAAGTAAGGGGAGTACTGGACGAAGGGCGTGTTGAAGAGGAACCGCAGCATGAACGCCAGCATCCTGACCACCTTGGGGGGTTTCCCCACCGTGGTGGTGGCCATCTTCCAGGCCCAAAGTGGCTGAAGCATCGACTTCGCCAGCGGACATGCAGCAGTTGCCCATTGGATGCGGCCCAGGGCCTTCTCGATGTCCTTTGAGTGCATCGCCTGCCCTTCCACCATGGTCTGCAAGACCTCCATCACCAGGATGTGTTTGTTGGCGGCCATGAGAACCTGCGGGATGTTCGGGTGGACCACGAAGCCCAGCCACGTGTTGACCTCCGCCAAATGTGTCTTCTTCCAGCTAAGCGGGGTGCCCAAGGCCAGGAGTGTTGCCAACAGCGCCACCGCCAAGTTTACTGCCCCCTCGCTGCGAAGCAGCCACAGGAAGTCATCCACAAAGACGAAGTTCCAATCCACTTGAGGGAAAAGTGCGTAGAGGACCCTGAGTAGAAGGGCTGCCAGGCGTTTCCAGTAGGATTGGGCACTGGCCATGCCGTATGTGCCTACCTTGTTCACCCACCATTCTTCCCCCAGTGAAGCCACCTGGAACCGCCAGTCCTTCCTGAGGACCTTCACTCTCCGGTGGGCCTTGGTGACGTCCGCCTTGAGCAGCACCCACCTGGTGCCCGGCTCCGGCCATAGCCAGCCCCCAGGTGGAGGTTTGACGACCTCCTTCTCGGGGCCAGGGGCACCCTGAGAGGGAGGTCCCTCCGCAGCTGCCGCATGTAGCCAATGAAGAGCCTGTACCCCATCCAGCACCGTCGGAGCCGTCGTCCTTTCCACCGTCTGGTTCCTGATGGTGTCATTGGCCCCGCCCACCGAGCCATCGTAGATGGTGCGGATCTTGTCCCCTTCGTCGATGCCCGCTAGGGGGCCGGGACAAAGGTCCTCAATCTTGCAGCCACAGCGCGCTGCTGCCTCCACCTTGGTGAAGGGGCCCTCTACCATGCCCATGGGGACCTCCTCCAGGAATGTGCCACGGATGAGCTCACTGAAGTGATCCGCCGAGGGGTAGTTACCCCGGCCCGTGGGATGAGGGAGTTCCTGGAACTCCGGCTCCTCCCCTTTTAGCTCCTTCTTGAGTGGCCAGATGCCCGGCGAGGCCAGGGGTGGGTCCGTGACCCCCAGTGGGACCCCTTGTTCCAGATCCCGAGGAAACTGGTGGTCGGGGTCCTGAATGTTCAGCGCCACGCTGTGCAAGATGTCCAGGAAGAAGGGTTGGCCTTCAGCTGGTCGGCCTGCCCCCGGCGCCAAGATCTCCCTGATATCCTCCAGCAGGTCCGGGAAGGGATGTGACCCGTCCCCCAACGAGAGCGACTCTTGGAGCTTGTCCCCCCATGGCGAAGTGAGGACACAGATCTTGGCCCCCATCGCTGCTGCTTTGGACAGTGGCCGAGTCCACGGGGCCAGCCGTCCCAGTGAGGGCTTCCCACCCCCGTCCCTTAGGGGGCGCTGTTTGAAGGCCATCTGGAGGTACATAACCTTGTCGGAGAGATTTGGGTCGTGCGTGATTGGCAGGGTGGTGGGCCGATCCGAGATCTCCATGCAATGGCGTGCCCATGGCTCAGGGGAAAGAGTTCCACCCCGAAGTTCGACCGTCCCGCCAGCCAGCTGTGTTGGTGTCCGGACCTCCGGATTGTCTGAGGCCGAGACCGGAAGTGAGCCCAAGGTTAGTCCCGCCAACGCTTGTTGGCCGGCCTTCAGCCTCCGGGACTGGCGCTTGTTGTCCCCCGGCGTGCTGGGAGAAGGTTCCCTCTGTCGCCTCGGGGGGGTCGTTGGGTTCGCCTGGGGCACTGTGCCCCCCGGTCTCAGCGCCTCCAGGACGGGTCCCGCTCTGCAAAGGATGGCCGCTGCGAGACCCTGCATCATCTGCTCTGGATACCGGCTGAGGTCACTGGAGTTGAGCTTTTCCCCCCTGGGGTGAGCTCCGTGGTTGCATCGCAGATCATGCCAATGGTGAAGGGGAAGGTCCGTTGACAATGTCGTGGACTTCACTACCACCTGGCCCAGGCGGCACTCGTCAAACTTGATGAGGGAGTGGTGGAGTGCGTTCGCCCATTGAATGTAGGCCCGTGTGACCCAGATCGATGAGCACCTCGCTGCGCTCGGGCTCTTGCTGCACTCCATTGGGTCCATTGGGTGCTCCAGGAAGGAGGAGCCCACCTGCGGGACCGTTAGTTGACCTAGCCCCTGGTAGGCCAGCGAGGTCAGGTACATCTGTCGGAGCATGAGCACGCTGTCGTTGTCCGTGTCCTCCATTACCCGGGGCTCCAGGTCCTCTAAGCCCCACAGGGTCTGCTCCGCCCTGCCCCTCACCGGCGGCGGGCCACCCGGTTTGGGGAACCATCTGAGAATGCTCCACGTCCTGCAGTTGGGGCCGCCCCCCACAAAGGCGACCTTGCCCGCCATGGCCATGGAGCACATCGTAGAGTAAGGCTCGTCTCCCAGCATGTCCTGTCCAAGATCTCCACCCTTTCGCCTGATGTCCACTGCCCAAATGTACTCCGAGAAGGCCGGGTTGTAGGCATGGAGGTAAGCATCCAGGGCCCCCGCATCATCCTTCCCAGCGTACAGCAGGATGAGGGACGGCTTTGACGACTCCGGCACCGGACGTGGCGTCCACCTTAGTCTGAGCCTCAGTCTTTCCGGGGTGTCCTGCATCCATGGGAAGGTGGGGCTTGCCCCCCCTAGGGTTTCCGTGTGTCCTTTGTCTGACCCTCCGGTCATCTGGCCCTGGGCTTGCTGCTTGCCCTGACGGTTCTGCCCGCCCTTGGAACGCCCCTTGCCGGGCGGATCCTCACCTCTGGGTCTCTCTGGGGGTTCTTCCCACTGCCTTGGTGGGCGGGGCAAAGGGGTGCTTCCGCCCTTCTGGAGCAAACGGCACCACACAAGCATGCGATAACTCTTTTATCCAAGCAATGTGTTGGTGCCAGGGACTCATCTTCCCCTGTCAGAGTCAACGGCTGGGTGGGCCCCATGGGCCACCCACCACAAACTCACAAAAACTGAAGAACGGGTGTGCAGACTGATAGCGCCATTTCCGAAGGACAGTCTCACACACCCGCCATTTCCGAAGGATGCCAGTCTGTGCTGAGGGCCCTGGCCAGGGCCCTGTCCTGGGCCTCCCCTCCCCTCGGTCGCCAGGGCCGGGGGCACCTAGGCTGCCAAAGGTAGGGCCACCACCTCGGTCTCCGACTGGGTGTCTACAGAGTC